GGGTAAAGAATCCATAACTAAGTTTGTATAAGCTGCTGAAGTGAAAACTGGATGCATCCAATAAGAACAAGCAAACACTCAAACATCCTGTACACATTTTGCTCCAGCTCTATCCTGATAGAAAAAATAAACCAGCACTGACAAGTGGTAAGTTGAGATGCAAAGGTATCTGACATTTATTATGCCTAAAAGAAGATTTGCTGCTAATGTAGTGTTTTTCTAGTCTTCTTGACCACTCCAAACACTCTTTCACTGCAAGCTACATTCACAGACACACTTCCTAAGGACCCTTTGGCAAGCAGGCTGATTGAACCCCCCAACTTTCCAAATAAGGGATGACCTGCTCAGCCTCCTGTGACACAATCACCCAAGAAGCATTCAGCATTCATCAATTTAAACGCTCATTGTCACATATCTTTAGCAGTCTCTTTGGCTCTTAACCTTGTGTTGGTTGCACAGTGCTCTTGTAAAGTCATGATGAAGAATATTATTTGGAGAAAAGGCAGACAATGAATTTTGATAAAAGCAAAAGTCTAGCCTTAGAATAGAGATTTAATAGGATCAAGGCTAGCGGGCCTTTAAAGTGATGGCTTAGGTGTTAGAGCATGAACTGTCAAGCTCCAGGCTCATTGATCTGAGAGCATCAGAACAAGGAGCCGAAGTGGCATCCAGCAGGAACACGGCGGGGTTACTCTAATGTATGCTACAATGTATTTGTGAGTGTATGTGCGTTCACTGAAATCCCAATCTAGAAGAGTTATGTGAACCCCCCCCACACACACACACACACACCCACACACACACACACATGATTTTCCTGAAGGAGACGGTCGCAGGCAGGAAATGGCATGTGAAATGTCATACATTCTGCTCTCCAGTTGGTGCAGGCCCGGTAGGAGGGAAAACGAGGGCACGGTGGGTGCAGAGGGAGTTGCAGCCAATGTGGAAAAACATGCAGGCTGCCATGTGGCATGTCAGGGTTTTATCTGCATTAGTGAGCGTTTTGTGTGTAAAGGCGAGAGGCCTATTATATCTGTAAGAGTGTGTGGGAGGTACAAAAAACGGTAGAGAAGCACCTGGAGCTAAGTGAGAACTCAGGGATTTCCACCTCAGTCGCCCCTATGAACACAAACGCACCACCTCGCCTACTCTTAGTGTCACTCTCCTCGATTCCCTCCTGAACATACGTTTTAACACACACACACATACTTGGCAACCCCTATACAGAGCAGGCAGGGTGAACTGAAGGCTCCAGTCCAGTCAGGAGATGGTTTAAGTGGTGGAGAGCCTGATGGTTTGAGGACTGGTCTGAATACTGATTCAGACTGCAGAGGTGGTTCCTGAAGCATAAGCTGCTGATTAAGAGGGAAACGGGAAGTGGGGAGGGGAATGATGATATGAAGGCATGTGGAGAAGAGGAAATTTAAGAGAGGGAGTTTGAATGAAGGGTGGGAAAAGACAAGCAGATGGACAGCTGAGAATGGAAAACAAGTAATGAGGAAGGAGTCAAAGATTGGGAGAATATGAACAATGGAAGCTGAGAAAGTTGGAGGCGCAGTTGACGGAAAAAGGGTGACGAGGAAAGAGGTGTAGCCAGGATTGCTGCGTTTAGATCACACAGGCCCTTTATGAATCTGCCTCAGACTGAGTAACACAATTGCAACACTTCAGACTGTCTTTCTGAGAAGTTACTAGAAACAACTTTTCAGCCAAGTTCGACGCTCAAAGCTGAAAACAGCCTCGATTCGCAGTGCTAAAATAATGAAGGAGGCGAGAAATGCATGACGGGAGCAAGCGAGCATTTAATTTTTAATTTAGAGCTTTGCAAATGGATTTTCTGCTGTCTTTTAATCAAACAAAAACACCTAGTTGAGCTGGGAAAATGGCGGCTAAGCTGGAAATCCATTACATCTCAATAGTCAGGAATTATTTGTTTAATTCTGCAGCTAATGCAAGAACCTCTTGATGCTATTTGGGTTATTTTTCCTGAGATTTCTATGCATCTGTTTTGTGCAACTGTGCAAAATACGTGCATGTAAATATAGTACAAAAATTTATTTCAAAAGACATACTGAGATACCGTGAAAATCCCTCCACATCAGCACGTTTGACTGCTAATTTCAGCTTGTTTCTTTGGAAAGCATACCTAAATGTATGCTTTTATAAGTAAAACATGTTCATTGTTTACACTGATCAATAGGCATGTGAACTTTGTGGAAATATATTTATTTGCTTTCTTTCCGAGAGTTAGATAAGATCAATACCACGCTCATAATGTAAAGCTACTGCAAGCAGTGGGGCAAATCTGAGTTTTGCAGTATCACTGAAAACAGCAGAAAACAGACACCCTAGTGATGTCAGGAAGAAAGCCTGTACCCTGTTCTTTTGCTTAAGGGTGTGGCGGGCTTCCCTCATCATTTATTTTCCACAGACTTCTCAGGAGAAGCCACTTGTTACACAACACTTGCTGTGTGATAGGAATAACCAGAAGTCACTGGCCAGCAAATAGAATAGATAAATATACAGGCACATTTACATGCACGGCTTATTAGGATGCTCGCAATGTGTCCCTGTCACCCTCCCATTACTCGAAATGTATCTATTCTCCTGCAGCAGTGACAGCGCAACGACTCACAATCTTGCCTGACCGGGATCAATGCTCTAAGTGGAAATTACGATGCTGCTTCACGTCTCGCGCATTTTATGTATCACCGCTTTTACATTAACGATGGGATATCGTACCATACGCTCTTTTGAATTGTGTCCATCTCATCATCTCTCTGTCTTGTTGTTCATCACCCTAGTGGAACTGTCAGGGGGCATGGTTACTGAATCAACAATTGAACCTACTTACTGAATCACATGCAATGTGTACAGTTCATACTGTGTGAGTTTGTGTGTTGCTGATTTTTTGTGTGTGTGTGTGTGTGTGTTTGTGCATGTGTGGGTACCATTCCTGCCCTGCACTCTTTAGAAATTACGACTTAATGGCATGATGAATCAATCTGGATTAACAAAAACAATGCAAATGCAGCCAAGTGGAGCAGATGGGGCTCAGTGCAGTGCGCTGTTTCTGTAACTGTGCGGATCTGGAAGAGTCAGTTCATGTGACCTTGATTGCAGGAGGCAAACAACATCAGCAGCACGGACACCTCTGAAGCAACTCCGGCGCTTTTAAATGCGAAAGGTTTGCAGGTTTTATTGTTTTACAACTTTGAATCAAAGGGGATTTTTGTAACGCCGATCAGAATATGCCATGTGAGCCCTGCAGAACCCGTGAGCTCGAATGTATGCTGTAAATGACAAAAAGGTACTGGGAAAAAATGATGCAAATCAAATCAAAATCAGTTGCACTACACCTGCAATTTTGTGGAGGATTTGTTATCCAGCAAGAAGGTGACACAGAGGAGAAACTTTAAGACTCACAGAAATGGCATAAAAACAGTTGAAATGGTCAAACTAGTAATCTATTCATATAGATGCATACTAACACTCATCAGTCTTCTCTGTACATTTTAACTAAAGCTGCATAAAAGGAGGTCACAGACAATATGTATTTATTATACCTTTATCCATCATTTGTATTGATTAATTGATATAAGATATGTAAATATTTGATCTTTGACCTTTTACCGCCGTCCAAAATTTCAGCTAATGCAGACGGTGTTTATTTTCATTTATTAATTTTTGCTCCATTAATGTATTTGTTGGTGAAAAGTGGCTGCAGAGCCAACGCTTGTGTCTTTGTGTAAGTTATAAGCAATTTACTGTCAAGTAAGACGAAGACAAGTAGTAAATAATCAGTGTGTATAGAAATAGCTGCTGATGATTTACATTTTGGTTTATATGTTTTATTTGCGGTAAAGATGCCCATAATTGCAAAACTTCTATAAAAAGCAGAAAATTCAGCTTCAATCTGACGTGGCTGTTAGGCGATTTATAAACAGCCCCAAAATGTCTTTCTATCTTTGCTTTTATTCCTGCTGGATTGCTCCTCTTGTGTGTTTCCGTTTCTGTCTTAATGAGGAGTGTGCTGTTTTTACCCACAGCCTGCACTATCAAAGTTCCATGTAGGTGTGTTCCAAGCAAAATTGGTGACATTTCGTCTCAGAGTCAGTGATGTGCCTTTAGGAGTTGCTTGATGTTTTAAGATGGGTGTTTACGATGTCACCAGGCACTCCTGGCACCTGTGAAACTGCTACCTCAGCCGTGCCTAAAAACAGATGCATTTTAACAGATGCATCCCACAGTCAGAATGTGGAAACACGAGGGGGCACAGAAAAACAGAGCGCTGTAACCTCATCTCAAAGAGAACAGCATGTAAACTGCATAAATGAACCACATTTCAGTTCTACTCTCCCGAAAAAGAAAAAAAACGTCCTTTCCACTGTTTGGTCGTGCAAAGGTGGTCACGTTCTACCTTGGTGCAAATTAACCCAAGTTAAAATGCCAGTCTCGGTCCTCGAAATCAATATCCATTAAGTATTCATTTGATCTAATGGGAGCGTGACTGAGAGTGAACAATGTGAAAATACAGGAGGAACTTGAATGAGAAGATTAGGCCTCAGCTTGAAAGCGGGATGTTAAGTAAATCAAAGTGAAATCACATGGAGTCCAGCACTGAGCTCATACAGACACTGTGGTCTGTTATAGTGTGTGCGTGCACTGACTTTACATGATGGCTACTTAGGAAGGGACTCTATATATGCTATATTTAGCCTGGAAAAACTGCAATAAAATAGGTAACGTCACAGTAATGTAATATGTAGAACAAATTACTCAGGTCACTAAATCTGATATTCATGAGAGGCAAGAAAGTCTGCAGATCTGGGGAAGTAATGTCACCTGTTTGACACAGAGCAGTTTCTGTCATTTTAATTATAGGTCATTTGGGAAAAGGCACATTATTATCATTATCATCATCATTATTATTATTAATGTTACTTTTTCGTTGAAAGGGAACTTTTTTATGCAGTGCACGCAGCACGAAAGCTACTTACTCCGCTTTCCTGGCCAGACCCACTGAACGGCAGAGAGTGGTTGGAGTCTGCGGAACAAGCGACTTGCAGCAGGGGCTCCTCTTGTCCTCCTCGGCGGAGTCGGGGCTGGCTTGGCTCGCTTTGGGCGACTGCGGCGAGGTGGGAACGAGCTGCAGCTGCTGTGGGTGGTGGGAAGACGGTGCAGGAGGAGTCGGGTGCTGCTGCTGCTGCTGCTGCTGAGGCTGGGCCGACAGACCGGTAATCTGCTGATGCTGCTGCTGCTGGGATGGTGGTGGCTGCTGATGATGCGCCTGCTGGCCGAGATGAGCCGCAGCTTTGTTGCTTCCCGGGTGTGGGTGAAGGTGGGCCGGCGCCTGGGGACTGGCGCTGCGGTGAGTCGGGTGGTGGTGGTGGTGGTGATGGTGGTGCTGAGAGGGCTGCTGGACGTAGTGATGGGGGTCCCGCAACTGTCGGTTCTCTCCGATCAGGTCCTCCACCTTCCGCTCGAGTTCGTCGATGCGCTGGCGCTGTGTTTGGATCAGGCTTTGCTGGTTCTGGACGATAGTGGTGAGCTCCTTCAGATAAAGAACGGCTTTCATTGGATTATCCAGCAGGCTCTCCATTACTGACTGTAGCTGTGGCAACGCGCCCGGCTATGTTGACTTCTCCTTTAGCTGGTTCTGGAGCGGTGATCGGTCGATGGGGCCTCTGAACAGTGCGTAACCGAGATGCTGTGGCGGCAGTCTGACGCCTCTACGCTCTGGTGAGGTTGAGTCTCTCTCTCGCTCTCTCCCTGTCTCTTTCCCCACCCCCCTCTCTCTTTCTCTCTCTCAGTACTTTGCAAGGAAACCAGAAATGGTGCTGATGCAAGGGGGGATCAGCATCACCGGAGTCCGGAGGCGGGGCCGTAGTGGACCAGTGATGTCAACACGCAGGGCAAATAATCTAGCAGCTTTCACGTTAAACGTGAAAGCGTTAAACGTGAAAGCTGCTGCCCAATCCACAGGCAACAGTCCAGTCAGGTTTTTTTTGTTTTTTTTGTCTTGTTTCTTTCTCCCTTATTCTGTGTTTTCTACTCTCTCCCCACGTTTTCCTCCCTTTCTTTTCTTTTCTTTTCTCTTCTCTTCTTTTCTTTCTCTCCTCAATGCCAACTAGCTGTTACAAATGGCTACACCTCCCTGAAAAGGGAGTTTTTCCTCCGTACTTTCACAAAGTGTTTGCTCTAAGGGAGAAATTGCTTGGTTATTAGGGTTTTCTCCAGATATAGGGTCTTACCTTGCAGTATAAAGTGCCTTTATATTATATATAAGCAAAACTGAACTGAATTGAAATAATACTGAACATTAAGACAACCATTCACACTCACACCCACACCAGAAGGTTTGAACCCAGAACCTTCTCTCTAGAAAATAACAACGGTAAACACTGCACAAAATATGCTACCCAGAAATTAAACATAGATCTTCGATTTAAACCAATTAGTGTCTTCCATTTCTGCTCTATTTTGAAAATTGAGCCTTTTCTTTCCATGAGAGATTGCAAAATTGTTACTTATGCCCTTGTTTCCTCTCGCTTGGACTACTACAATTCACTTTATGCTGGTCTCAGTCAGTCTGCTCTGTCCCCTCTCCAACTTGTCTGAAATGCTGCTGCTGAGCTCCTCACAGGCACCTGAGAAAGAGATTATATTACACCTGTTTTACATTCTCCCCGCTGGTTGCTAGTGAGCTTGAGAAACAGTTTCAAGATCTTCCTGTTTGTCTACAAAGCCCTTCGTGGTATCATTTCTTCCTCCATCTCTGATCTTTGAAATCAGGTAATATTTTATCATAATAAAAGCTGGGAGTTGCTGGATGTTTCGACGTCAGCATTTGAATTAGATGCAATTCCCTGCTCACTATATGAATGTGTGATGTGATTAGTATCGCTCATGGTGATCTTTTTGTCACACAGCAGTCTTTGTGTTTTAGATGGTGGCTTTTTGGGCAGCGGGGGTGGGGGGTAGGGGGGTGTTCCTCTGCTGGGTTCCAAAAGAAAGGCACAGTGCTCCTTACTTAGCAGCACAGTGATGATTTGATGAAATATTCATGTTCACCACTTTTTTGTTTTTATGCAAACAAATCTGAAGGTTTGTGCTGTGTAGATGGCAATGACCCATCCCCCCTGAATTGGATCAGGAGCCGTAGGCTGATTTTCTGTCTCCGTCTTGCTTAGTCTTTGAAAAGAAAAGAAAAACCAGTCAACAAAGCAGTTAGCATACAGCAAACTTGTGGAGGTGATTCCTGGCACACATTAAAATGCATCTCACTGAGAGTGTCTTCGGGCGGTATTCAGGAGTTGCATTTAATCATTGCATTTTCATTCACTGAAAATGTGTAGGCAAACTTTCTGTAAAGTTTTTTATGGCCTAATTAGTTTTTTTCTCAATTGTTTGCTATTCAAATACAGACGGTTCTTTATTAATCAGTTGAAGGTTTTATAATTCACCTCATTATTGACACTTATTCCTCTGCTGGAAGTCTTGTAGTGCCCCCTTCCACACTCAGCAGCTCTGTGATGTGATGAACTTCCTTGAACTTGATAAGATCAGCTATTCTCTCCAAGGCAAATCCCAAAAATTCTTGGTTAAGTGGCAGCTCTTCCTGACCTAATTTAGTTCATTATAACCCCCATCTCATGACAGTGACCCTGTTCTAACTCTAACCCTAATCTTTTGTCCATCCTGTATTTATTGACCCTTTTTTAAAAGTTATTTATTTATTCATTCATCAATATTCTTTCTTTTTAATTTGTCTCTGTGCAGTTGTTATTTTTTTGTTGTTGTTTTTTTTTTTTTTGCTTTCTTTATTAGACTTATACTATATTAAAGAGAAGATTCAATATGCTCTATTAAAGGTTCTTTTATTTCTTGGTTTGTGAGAAAGACTTTTTGCTATGCCAAACCATGTCTCGTCTTTTGTTCCCTCAATAAATATGTTGAAGAGAACAAACAAACTCAATTGTTTATTCATTAATCACTTTTTATACACTATATTGCCCAAAGTGTTCACTCGTCTTAAAAATGCATATGAAATTAAGTGACGTCCTATTTTCTGACTATTCTTCCAGAAGAAAGTGTGGGGTCAGACCCTGGCTTGCAGTCTCTGCTCTAATTCATCCCCGAGGTCAGGACTCCGTGCAGGCCAGCCAAGCTTTTTCCACCAAACCTTTTCATCCATGTCTTTATGGACCTTGCTTTGTGCACTGGTGGGCAGTCATGTTGGAACAGGAAAAGACCATCCAAAAAACTGTTCACACAAAGGTGGGAGCATCAAATTGTCCATAATGTCTTGGTATGCTGAAGCATTAAGAGTTCAAGCTAACTCCTGTAAAACAACCCCATGCTACAATCCCCCTCCACCAAATGTTATACTTGGCACAATACAGTCATGTTTCCCTGGCAACTGCCAAACCCAGACTCATCCATCAGGTTACCAGGAAGAGAAGCTTGATTCGTCATTCCAGAGCATCTCATGTCTCCACTGCACTAGATCCTATAGGCAGCATGCTTTAAACAATTGCATTTTGTGCTGTTTGCGCTTGGTGATGTTAGGCTGGATGCAGCTTCTCGACCACAGAAACCCATTCGACGAGCTCTCTACCCGCTGTTCATGAGCAAATCTGAAGGCCACATAGTGTTCAAAGGTCTGTAGCTATTGAGTTGCCGTCGTCACCAATAACTTCCACTTGGTTATAATACCATTAACAGCTGACTGTGGAATATTTAGTAGCAAGGAAATTTCACGAATGGACTTGTTGCACAGGCAGCATCGTATCACAGTACCGAGCTGGAATTCACTGAGCTCCTGAGCAGCACCCACTCTTTCACAAATGTTTGCAGAAGTGTGTCACAAAGTGTGTGACACTCACCTGTACAGGAGCGAAAATAACGATATGGTGTGATTAATGCTTTTTATGAGATCAGAGGAAAAAGTGAACTGGACTGTTTTTTTTGTCTCACAAAGCCAATTTTAAAACATTTGATTAAACGTTAGTAAAACAGCTTAGAGAGAAATATAAATATCCTATGACCTTGAGACAGTGAAATATTATTACTGTAGTGGTGAGCCAGCATGAGTGCAGCCAGGCCCTTCCTTCCATATGGCTGCTTTACAAGCTGCATGAAGTGAAAAATGGCTTTCGCGCTTGACCAGCGACACATGGCTGAATAGAGCCAAAAATGAGTTTTGTGGCAGGATTGTAAAAAGGGAAATAGTGCCAGTAGTGACTTTGGAGCTGGGCTGACATCTGCATGGTGCAGCCCCCTATACTTATTACGGACTCTCTGCTGGAAGAGGTGCAACCCACCTTTAACACCAATTATCTCACAGAGCAGTCTGAGGCCTGAGAGGGTTGCGCATCCTTGATCTGAAGCGACAAGGACGGGACACAAAGTGTGACATGAATAATCAAGTTACCCTCCATCAACAGATGAGGAAATGCTACGTGCCTTTAAAAAGAAAATTGACAAAAGATAGATAAAAAAACATCTCTGAACATCCCATTTTTAAACACCATACAGGCATCAGGAGATCACTGATTGCAATTCCCAGTTCAAATTTCACATTAATAAAAGAGAAAAGTTTAAAAGTCGGTTGGCATTGTTAAAGTTTTGCCCCCTCATCGGATCCTCCTCCAGAACATCTAATTTCAAAGCTGCGTTATATCAATATAGGCTTACTCCCCAGAGTCCTGATGTGTCTCGGGTTTGTTGCTAAGTCGAAAGTAGACCAGCTGTATTCTCTCTCATTATTCAGCAGCATTTGATGCAGAGTCTAGCAGACGGAGACGAACTCTTGTGAACCCGAAGCAACATTCAGAGAAACTTTAAGTTATCTGTGTAAAAAAAAAAAGTGTCATGCAAGGACTCTTCGTTGTTTTGAATAGCCATGTCACTCAGCACCTACATACATATTTAAAAAGTTTCTCCTTCAAGTAATGCCCCATCCCCTCCCCCTCCCCCCAACATCACTGCAGCATTTACAATGATTTCTTACTCTTCTCTGATCTCCAGACTCCACAATGAACGAAAGCTGCTCTATTCTTCTGCTCTTTTTGGGACAGGGTTTCTCATTAACACTGATAAATGGCTTGTTGCGTGCACTTGACTGGAGTCTGAATATGTGTGATTTTGCACCTCAAGATGACTTGGCATGAAATGTTTCAGGGGAAAAAAACACATTAAAGAAGGAATGAATTATCAAAATGGAGCTTTCATTGGCTTGGTGTGCTCGTAAATTATACCACAGAGGCAATTTCACATTGTAAATACCTGATAAAAAGAGGAAAGTTAAACCCTAATGGAGTGAAGAAAAGACTGAAACATTTTTCAAGGACTTTAGAGCATTAACGACATTAAAAGACGCGATAAGAGCAACCGACACGATAAAGCAATTAACGTCAGGTAGAGATTAATTACTGGCAATGATGCACTTCATTAGTGACGCTTTGCGGTGGTGCCAGTACAGATGAGCAAGTCAGCAAGTCACTGACACTATGAGCATCTGGTAAGAACACCACATTTAAAGGGATTGTTTAGTATTCACACACAGTGCACCTGCCTACAACAGTTAAAGGGTCTTAATTTCAACGTGAATATTATTACAGGAAAACTTTGGGCTCTAAAGGTCATCCTTAGCATAAACAAAACCAAGAGTCAAAAGCAATGCAAGCTGCTCTGAAGCACTACTAAGGCGCAGCAGGGCATGGAGTAGACTTCTAATGTCAGTATGTTAATATTCTAAAAAAAACAATGTTATGCTAATGATTAGCGGATATAATGTTTACCCTGTATACAACCTGAGGCAAGTCAGTGTGGTAACATTTGCTAATTAGCACTAAACA